TTACTATTATATTACTCATATTGACAAACCTCCTGTTATTTTACTGTTATTTTGCTGTTATGCTGCTGTTATGCTGCTATTATTTGGCATATATAAGGTAAAATAATAACAGTTTTTTTTTTCTGTTATTTACCTATTATTTACCCTTTATTTATTTGTTCGACCTGTGTAGAGGTTGGAACCAGTTATTGTAATCGGATTTATAATCGGTTTTAACTAGTTATAACTTATAACCAGGTTGAACTTTTTTAAATCGATTAATCAGTTTTATTATAACTGAATTTATTTAATTAATCAGTTTTATTATAACTGAATCCATCCGATTAATCAGTTTTATTATATATGATTAATCAGTTTTATTACAACTGAATTTATCTGATTAATCAGTTTATTATAACCGAATTTATCCAATTAATCAGTTTTATTACAACTGAATTCATCCAATTAATCCGTTTAATTTAACTATTTATCTGTTATATCTGATATCAATGCTCTTTTATTATTTAATAAAGGTAGTAAAATATGTGATCTTGAGAACTCATCTACTTGACAGTCTAATTTCTTTATATCCTGTAGAGCACTTTTTGGTTTGTATTAATATTTCAATGACCAATATGGAATATTGTGCAAGCAGAAAGTATTCTACAAAGAGTATGTTCAATTGATTAAGGAGGTAATATACAATACATGTTCAGTTGAATTCTGGTGCCATGTAGATAGATTCCAACAGTTTTGCTATAATGTATTTTACTTTGCAAAGAGACTGACATTGTGTGAAAAATTGTTTGTTTAGGATTAATTAGCCAAATTAAAGTCAATAAGCAATATGGAAAACTGCATTATGAATTGTGGCATTGTGGCACTATGTAATTACGGTTTACTATACAGTATTCATGACTGTTTATGTAGTTAATTATATAGATAACTTATTCTAAATGCATTAATCAATTATTTATATTCTCATTAAATCAACACAAAAAAGAAATGCTATTTAACAGTAGATTTTTATTAATTTAATTAGATTACAGTGCATTAAAAAGTCTTTGAACAACTTTATGTAATGATTATTCGATGGCTACTATGCTTAATTGCATAATTTGTTGCTTAGTTATTTAAAACTTCTGAAGCAATATTTGGCAAAATTTTATAAATACTATCTAATTCTGATTTTGATATAATATTAGCCAATATTGAAAGACCCAAATCTGTGATGTATGTGCTTTTTAATTCATTTAGTATTATATTTCTATGAATTGATTGAAGATTCGAAGTAATACATTGTAACAGAATTAACTTACCTTTTCATTCAATCTGGCTATGAATTATAGATTATTATATAAACAACCTTTTAAAGCATATTCTATGACAAGAACATAATCTTTGGAAGCATCATGTCTTGATATACTGAAGCATTTTAAAAAACCTGGATGTTTTTAAGACTAATACCACAATATTAAAAGAAAATAAATATTCACATTAGTCAATATATAAATAATATAATTAACAAAAATATTCGATAAAGATTACCTCTTTTATGAATTCTTTTTTATGACCATTTGGTTCATTAAACAATTTAAGTGCAACAATTCTTCTTATATTTTGAATTTTATCGATCCAATTAGCAGTGTATACAGTTGCAAATCTGCCTTTTCCTATCTTCTTAATAATTTGAAATTCATTGTAAGGAATCTATGATAACTGATAATCATTTTCCAATAACACTTCTTTCAAATCATCTTCAATTTCAGAATTTTTACATATCCATTTATTCGTAGCTAATAAATAAGTTCTCCCTAATTATGTTTTAAACAAATTAATTAAATTTAAATATAAGAATTAAATAAATATATAATAAAAAATTAGTAAATTAAGATTTATTTACTTTTGATACCAATAGTCGGTTTTCTTTCTACTCCAAATTCATTTCAATAACATTTAGCAGTTTCTATCATTCCAACAGATCCAGATTTGCAGCTTTTGAAAATAAACAAATGCCTTATCTTCATCCTTTTCAACTCCAAATCCTCCTTGATAACAATAACCAACATTGTATATTCCACTAGCATCTTTTATATCAGAAGATTTTTGATAATAAATGAATGCTTTGTGTTCATCCTTCTTAACTCTGATACCTTTATCATAACAATGTTCTACATTATCATTCCATCATCTCAGCGGCTTTTTGAGAATATTCGAATGCTTTCTTGTCCTTTTCAATGCCGATTCCTCTTAGATAACAAATTCCAACATTACATGTTCCACCAGCATGACCCTCCTTGATAACACTAACCAACATTAAATGTTCCTTCAGTATGACCTATATTGGTAATATTCGAATGCCTTGTATTCATCTTTATCGATTTCAATACCATGATGATAACAATAACCAAGATTAAATATTCCATTGGCATCTCTCATATTAGCAGATTTTTGAAAATATTCGAATGCTTTCTTTCCATCCTTTTCAGGCCCGATTTCTTCTTGATAACAATAACCAACATTAATCGTTCCTTTAGTATTGCCCATCTTGGCACTCTTTGATAATAATCAAATGCTATATTTTTATTCTTTTTAACTCCGATTCTTCATTATAACAATATCCAACACTTAATGTTCCTTTAGCATTTCCTATTACAGTGGTCTTTTGATAATAGATAAATGCCTTATGTTTATCCTTTTCCATTCTGATTCTATTATTCAATACTAAATATTCTAACAGCATCACCTATCTAAGTGGTCTTCCAAAAATGTTTGAATGCCTTATATTCATTCTTCTTGACTCCAATATTGTGTTGATTAATTGTACCTGATTAGCTGATCTATAGATTGAAAAGATCCGCATATTTGAACAAATTGAAAGAATGATCAACAACTTGCATATTGATTGAACAAATTATATGAGAAAAATATACTTTTAGCCAGATTCTAATCAAAATCAGTAAATTTATCATGTGAAAGATGAATTTAAGCATTTTAAGAGTAATGTTTGATATGAAAGTTTGGAATTAAGTTATCTATGACAATAAATTGGTAAAAGTAATAGCAGTTAACAATGGTATTTATGTATCTTATAAGATTTAGTTTATATGAATTTTGACTAATTATGTTTAATATAAGAAAACCAGTACTGTACTAAAGTTTATTATTAGGAAGGCAGATTATAACCACCAAGAATTTCATTAGTGCCCCTAATGATCAATTTATTCATTAGAAAAGCAGATATAATTACAAAGAATTTTATTAGTGATTTTAATGTTCAAATTTATTTAAAATTTAAATTTAAATTTGAAATTGAAAAAAAAGAAGCTACAAGATTTATATATAAAATATATTAACTTTTTCAATTATTCAGTAGCTTCTATTTACCTTTTCTCAGGTTTATGTTTAGCATCTTTTTTTTTTTTTTTTTAGAATTTTAAATTTTAAAAAAATTTAACAAATATAAACTAAGCATGGCAATAATTTTGTCATGAATCAAGTTAGAACCTTCAGTATTAAGTAAATAAGTTAACAGTTATTAAAAACTGTTATTGTTATTCTTGTGGTAGAAAGATGTCAAAGTGAACTCTATTGCGTTTCAAAAATAAAACTCTATTCACTAAATCTGGTGACAAATGGGTTCATTTTGCCAAAATATAATTGTCTGCATCGGAAAATAATCTCTCACTTGGAACAGAGGTTGCTGGAACAGAGAGATATTTGTGTGCTAATTGAGCCAAAATGGGCAAGCTACTTCTATTTTTTAGCCACCATTCTAAAGGATCATCATTAATTTTGATTTCTTTCAACTTTACATAGTACATTATTTTATCATCATCTTCCTTCACATCAGCTTGTGTAGAATTTGCTTCTAACTCATGAAAAAAGTCACCATCATCATTATCATTGTAATTTCTATCTACCAAATTCTCATCATTGTCATCTGGAATAGTAAGGTTTGTCTTTAATTCATTATATAAAGTCTTTATCAAATTCTGTACTTTGCTTCATTTAATGCTTGTTGTCCAATTGAAATGTTTAAACCGTGGATCAAGAAATGTGGCAACTAAAGCAATGTTTGTCAGAACTGCCCATAATTCATCTAATGACAGATAATAGCAGCTCGAACTTTACAAAGTAAACCATCAGTAGCAACAGAAGGCAAATACTCTACTTGGTTAGTATCTATTAGCTCAGTATTGGTAGATCATCTCTGTGTTCTAATATTTCGATAACTTTGGCCACAGGAGGCTATTCTTTGGCTAAACTGTCTGTGTGCATGTTGTCATTGTTGATGAGTGCCGGTAGCAGAAATATCATTATCAGATTCATCACTTTCATTCTCATCATCTTCAATTTCTTCTTCATAAATCAGATTCAAATAGTATCGACCATCTTACTCATCTTTGGTGCAAACCTTTTTTTGAGTAATTTCATGTACAGATAAACAAGATTGATAGTTGGATACTTAGCACCACATAAACATCAGGTTACTTTTTCAATCGGTTCTAGTAAATTTACCATATCTTTTAAAAATCTACATAATAAAAAAAAAAATTTTTTTTAATACATTATTAAAAAAAAGAGCATTGTTAAACAAAACATGAAAATCTCAATTTTAAATATTTTACTTCAGAGTATAGGGCTTACTCAACACTAAATATTGTGATTACATCATATAATCATTTGATATTAAAAGTTTTTGTATTTAATATTATAAATGTAAAATGTATTATCGTCATGAAATAAATATTACAGAGGCAAGCAAGTTCATACTTTATATAGTGGAATATCTAAAAATTAAGATTTTTATATTCTCGTTTAACTATCTTAAATAATATAAATAAAATTAATAAATAACTGTAGTCTATATTATTAAGGTATGCTAATAATGTTGCAGGCAAAACTGATACTTTTTGTCTGAATGAAACTTCCAAAAATAGGATTATCAACAGAATGTAAGTTAAATGCTAACTTAAAATAACAAATTTAAGATTTGGAAGTTTCAAAATAAAGCTCCAGAAACAATTCTAATTTTTAAAAAGAGTTTGACCACATCATAATATGCAACATTAATAATTAACAAGGTAGATTAGTTATAGTGAAAAATGTTGTGGTCTTGTGATCACTAACCACTTTCGACCTGACAATTCAAATTATGTATTATGTTTAAAAGACTAATAATTGATATTATTTAAAGAACTATTGTCTTTTAAACACAATGTGTAATTTAAATTATCTGTTCAGAAATGGTCAGTGATTATGAGACTGTAACATTTTTTCACTGAGTTAGCAAAAAAATGTGCAGTCTCATAATTATTTACCACTTCTGACCAGATAATTCAAATTACTACTAGTCTCAGCACAGCAACCTGGTCAACCTTCAGCCTGCACCTTTTAGACTAGGCTGGTCGATTAAAAAAATGTTAGAATTGATTCTCTTATAAAGCAATTTCAGGTTAAAGAAACTGGCTAAAAATCAACTAGTAGTTACAACAAAGTAGAGTAGATATTTATTAGTTGATGATAAATTGATAAACAATGAATGTAAGAAATGGAAATATTCTGATATATTTAGCTGCATAAACAATTAATCAACATAAAGTACTAATGTGCTGTAATTTCTCAAGAACAAAGTGAATAAAAACTAAATAATTTAGTATCACTAGAACTTTGTCAAGGATGACCTATAGTTGTTGTGAAACCCAAAAAAAAAAATTATAACAAAGTTCATTGTTATAATTTTTTTTTTGGGTTTTGTATAACAACTATAAGATGACCATATAGATGATTGTAGAATTTAAAAAAGAAAACTATAATAATGATAACCAATCATTTTCATTGTTAAAATTTTCTTTTTTGAATTCTACTATCATCTATAGGATGACCTGAAGACTTTCTATTTATTTGATATAGAATTATGATCAGAAAAATTATTCTAGCAAAAAAGGTTGGCCCGGTTGACCAGCCTGAGCTTTTTTAGAATCGACTCTAGCCTATGATTTTCTATTGTCCTGTATAATAGCCATGACCAACCTACCTTAATTAATACTACAAAATTAAATAAATTTATAATTACTCTTTTTCGCTAACTGATAAGCATAATTTTTCCAGTTTTTCTTCTTCTTTTTGCAAAGCATGATTTTGTTTAGAAAGTAATGAAGTTAAAACAAATCTCATTGCATTATGCAATTTCAGGACACATTTTCAAGCCAAATAGGTGGAATTCCACCTTGTTTTTATATCAGTTATAATATCAAGTAAACTTTTAATAATATTTTGACTCTCATCAATTATATTAAATTCATATTGCACTTTACGTAAACATTGTGCCTGTTTAGAAAGTCAAAAAAAGCTTGTAAACTTTTCACATGATGATGGATAGCCTTACATTGTTTTAGCCTTTTCTTTACTGATAGCTCCAACGTATATACAGTGCAAGGCAGATACTCTATATCATTAATGATTCTATTCAACAATCTTACCCCTTTAACTATGTTAGCACCATTGTCTGTAACTACAGTAAAAATCATTGCATCAAGATGCCATTCACAAATTAATCGAATTAATTTCTCACAAATTACTTCTCCAGTATGCAGATATGCAAGATGATCACAAGAAAGCAAGGCCTCTTTGAATTTAAAATCAGAAGACAGCCAAGTTGCTGTAACATCTAAATAGTCATAGTAAGATCTTGCTGTCCACAGGTCAGTAGACAAATGAATAGCTGTTACACTACTATTAATTAGGGACTTTAGTTGATTATTGCTCCAATTACATGCTTTATGAATCAATCCTTTAGCAGTTTTGTCACATGGAATTCAGAATCTGAGTTTACAGGCATAAACAAACTCGCGAAAAGATTGATCTTGTAAGATATAAAGAGGTTGAACAAATAGAATAATAAATTAGATTAATTTTCTTGCAATTAGTTGTTGCCTTTGTGATGAACATGGTGGTGTCATGTTATTGTAATAGTCTGTAACCTTTGTTTGATCACATTTTGGCTAAAAATAATCTAAAGTTAATAATGTTTTTAAAAAAATTAAAAATTTTGTTATGTTAAACATGATGAAATTTTTAGAATATTAACAAATTAATTTCAGAATATCGTATTACTTTATTATGTTCATCCAAATAATCAGTATAGTTATCTTTGATTATTTTGTGCTTGTTGTGTAAATAGGCAATCATATTTGATGTGTTGCCACCTTTATATGTATATGGATATGGAGGTTGCCGAGAGCCAGCAAGGTTATGCACACATATTTTATAGTATGTAAGTTCAACGTTGTTTTTATCTATATGAAAAAAATAACTGATATAGCTTTTATTACTATGAGAGGTTTCGGCATTAGCTTTTCTCTTCTTGCGACTTATAATTGATGAAGTTGATGTTGTTGATGGTGTGACATTAGATTCTTCTGCATCTGAGAAAGGAGGTGAAGACATTTTTATTTATTTTTTGTTTGACAAAAAATTAAATTTATTGCTATCATTTTCGTTATCATTTTATATAGATATGTAAATTTCATTTAGCATTTATATTTATTCAGAAATGCTATTCAAATCCTTGTAATTAACCTGTTAATGTGATAAATGGAGAGTATTTATCTTGGTATCTTACATGAGATTCATATGAGGAAATGGACTGATTAGGATGTAGGCAAGAATTTATTGCAACTATAGATCCTAATTAGATGAGTAGCAATTTGATTATAGGTTCATTTTGTTCACTCATTAATAAGCTTTGTGCCAGATAAACCTCAAACTCTTTTATACATTTTAGAGATTCATTGCTATTTTCATAATATTATAATTGCTCTATCTGCATAGCATCACGAAGCCTTTATATTTCATGAATATATTTTGCATCAATCTCTATATTGATGTTTTTCATACTGATCTCAATTAGGTATAATTATTAATTTAAAAAAATTTTACCAATCTTATTAATCTTAGCATAATCTGGCTACGACTGGTTTTACAATGAATTAAAGTTATGATTTATTGACCAAATTTGCATTTATTAGTCAATTACTAGTTTTAAAACTAGTAATTGGCTAGTGTGAAAGTCAAATCCATGGGTCTATGTGATTATGTGATATTGTGATCTGTGTTCACGATCAAAAAAAAGAAATAATTGATACCACAGAATTTAGCCTGAGCCTATAGAAGAAAACACCCAGTTTTCAAAAGAGAAATGCCAAGAAATCATGAACAAATCATGAGGAAATAGTAACTAAGCCATCCACTTAATAATGCTAAGCCCTAATGCAAATTTCAGAATTTGGAGAACAATCCCACCAGACCCATCCTGAGGTAATTGGTTTAGGTTATACAAATAACCTTAATTTATCCAAGATAAAACAGGGTTTATGCAAAAGCTAATTTTTAAGGATTACTATTTTGGCCAATCTATTTAAGATAATACGGGTTTATGTCAAAATCAAATTTTAAGAGTATGCAATGCAAATAAGAGACTACATACTATTTGGTAGCGGATGATGCACTTTTATTATTATTAGCTTATTATATTTATCCTTGTTTTCGCTATGAGATAATTTCATATATAAGTGTCATCAAGTGAAAATTTGTATGTTTTATGTATTTGATAGGTTTTATTAATAGAACTTATATTGATGACATTATTGGAAATTAAATCCTATAAGGTTAAAATAACTAAATAGATAATGGATTTGCATTCTGATCTTTATTATATTTAATTACTAGCATAAAAATATTAATAGTATTTCTATATCTTTTTATAATTATGTATCTTATTTTAAGTTTGTTTTTCTACATACTGTAAATTTAGTGGATAAATAGAAAATTGATTTATTAATTGAAGGTATACCTGCAAGCCTTTGGACAAATTTCATGTAATAAATTTTTATTTGCTGATTTTGGTTAGAATCCGACTAACCAAAATAGTATTTGTACGTAGATAAAAATATAACTGATTTTTTATTCCTTGGTTCTTATTATACTTCTATACTATTTTTTCAAATTAAAGTTACGTATTTCATGAAGTTTAGCTTTACTACAATCACAAGGCTTTTTCATTTCTTTCACTTTCTTTTTTCTTTGGTCGAAAACTTTTACATTTCATTAGTAATGCTATTAATTTAAAAAATTCGTCATATCATTATTAAAAAGTAAAAAAAAAGATAGAATCAACAATAAAAATAAAAATTCTGGATAAGCCTGAATCTGAGATCTGAACAATAAGTGAGAAAAAATAGTATAGAAGCATAAATAAAAACTGAGGAATAAATGTTTTTTTTTTGTATGTAGCATTTTAAATTTCGTACCAAATTTTTTCTCTAATAATTGAATTGAAAAAATATATATGTATCCATAAAACTAATGTATATATACAAGCGCCATTCAATTACTATGAAATAAAAGGGTAAAAACTCTAGATAAATATGCAAAACAATGGATTTTAAAGCCTGTAATATGCTTTCAAATAAAAAAAACCCCACAGTAGCTTACCAAAGGCATAGAAGTTGCCTTAAAAATCTCTTTCGGAACCTCCAGGATTCTGGTTCGACAAACAGCAAAGACCCTGAAATATTACCAAGGGTATTGGTTGTCAATTTTTTATTTGAGACCCTAGTAATATAACTATTTAACCCACTCCAGCATAAAAAAAAAATTTGAGCTAAGTAATACTAAAGCTTATAAGATGACATGTCTAAATGTGCATATAATAGGCAAGAAAAATAACTTGAACCAAAGGCTATTAACTAATTAAACCAGTTTTCTAGTTGTTTAAGAATACTGTTATAAATATGAAATAGCTGATATGATTGGTTTCCAAAGGTAAAAAACAAATTTCATTTATGTAGATTCTACTTAAAAGATAAGATTAGCTATTTTTCTTTAGATAATAACGAACTGTCTAATTAGACCAAAATTTTTTTTAAAAAATTAGTTGCATACTTGGAAGTTATTGGCAATTCTAATAAAATAACAACTTGATCTACATGCTGTATATTTAAAACAATTTAAGAAAAAAATACCTGCAGAAGTTGTTGAATTTCTGACACTTTTGATTTATAATTCTATAAAAAATTTATAAGTTATTGTTGAAGAGAATGTCAAAAAACAGTGGATAAAAAATTTACATGAATTGCTGCAATTTATGGCGGAAGAGATGAAAAAAAAAATTCTAAGGATATTCTAGTGAATTTAATAAGGTCAATGCAAAGTTGTTGTAGATCCATAATTTAAAAAATGGGAAATGTATCACATATTAAATTTTAATATATAAATCTCTCATTTTTTGGCTTTTAAACAAGCCATAAATTATGTGATTTAGTGTAGTAGTTATTGGGTCAAGTTTTTAATGACAATTGTTGATTTATTCACAATAGATGCAGTGGGTCTTGGCTATCATTATATCTCATCATCCTAATGAATAATCAGTTATCATCAACAACATGACCAATAACAAGCAATTATTGTTATATGAAGTTGTTCAAAGCCTTTTAAATGTACAGTATATGTTGTTTTAGATCTGTTGGTTGGCAGAAACAATTTTCATCACAAATTTTCATATAGACCAAACATACCAAACATGCTGAGGTTACATTTAAATGAAACCTTAACTTTAAATATATCGACATTGTAGTATCATTCTGAATACTATCTCTGTATTAAAAAATATACATCATTATCAGTATTAGGAAAATTAGTAGTCAAGCAAAAATTTGCTGATCAAATTGGTCAAGTCTATTATATAAATGTAATATATATATTATATAATAAATTATATTTAAATATTCCATTTGACCAATTAACCAGTACAAATCTTTTGACTGAACTGATCAAATTGGTCTGATCGTTATCATTATATATATTAATTATGTTCCAAATCAGAAACTTATCGAATCAGCCAAATAATCATTCGGATAATCTTTTACCAGGTGTTCCAAATTTTATTGTTATAAAAACAGCTGTAATATAACCAGTTAATCGATTAATCAAATTTATCCAAATTAATATAACTGATTAATTGAATTTGACCAGATTAATATAACTGATTAATCAAATTTATCCAGATTAATATAACTGATTAATCGAATTTAACTGGATTTATATAACTGATTAATCAGATTTAACTGAATTAATATAACCGATTAATCGAATTTAACTGAATTAATATAACCGATTAATCAAATTTAACTGGAGATAATATAACCAATTTATATTCGGTTTTGATTTTTAAAAAGTTGTTAAACCCAGTTAATAAAATTAAAACTGGTTTCAATCACTAATATTAGCCATATTAGTCACACTAATCACAACTTGTGTTATCTAGGTTATATGAAGTTACACAAGCCATAGTAGCCACAGTAAGTCATAGTAATACTCCTGTAAACACAAAACCTATCTTATAATAAATTTTATAATAATACCTAAATTTCAAAGACTTATAACTCAAAATTCTACTAAGCAAAAGAAGTCTGATTTTTAAAGAAGTTTAGTTCAAAATGCTAATCTTAGTAAACTTTGAACCTGACTTTATTAATTTAAATTATTTTTATAAAAAATTTTCAAAAAGTTTTGGTATTGGAATCTATAAGATATGTTACAAACATTATGTCTAACACTTGCTAACAAACAACCTAACATCTGCATTACTATAGAGCTTAGAGGCAGCATCAAAATCTGTCACTATCTCTAAGTACTTGTTACTACCAACATAGTTATGTGTCTCTGTAAAAAATACTATACATATTTTTATTTATAAAAAAACTTTACTTATAAACAACATCAAAGTACCAATATTATTAAAAAATTAAAAGATAAAAAATTATTTGTTTCCAAAATCATTGAGTCTACCAACTTCATTCTATTATCTCCAACCTTTTTATTTATATTAACTGTATACCAATATACTTATAGCAAGTGCAATCAACCTATTAATTGCAAAGTAATTAATAATAGACATTACTTAGTTGTTGATATTGAACTCTTTAATAACAATCTATGTCATAAATTCTGTTTTAAAACTGAAACTGAGTCTGAAGCTAGCAAACAACCTATTATCAACTCAGAACAAAAACCTTTTTGAGCACTTTCATTTCACAAACTTGAACAATCATTTAACATATTTTGTACTAACAATTTACTTATTTCTGAACTCAACTCTCTCACTCTTACTATTGAAGATATAGTAAATGATATAATAACTGATACTATTGTCATAAATATTAATAACTCTAACCTACTTGACAATAACCAACAGCAGCAACAATAACCAACAGCAGCAACAACAATCAAAACAACAACAACAACAAGAAACATCTAAGTAAGCTAAACAACAACAATAACAAAAATTATATAAACAACTAAAACAACCTTATAGCCAAGCTGCAAAACCTAAGCTTAATTCATTATTTGATTGGTTAACAAACTTTTCAGTTACTGAAGAAATAAAA